CGCTATTCTGCTACAAAGGTGCTATAGCATGCTATCAACCACATAGCTAGAAAAAATGTACAAATTTTTGTTTCCTTTGTTTTGCTTTATGGTTCATTTTCACCCATTCAATTATAAACATATTACATAGGTCATCAACAGCAAATCAAACAATGTTTTCTCCAATTCAATAACAAACAACTTTCTGAAATGCTTCAAAAATATCCCATCAGAAATTGAAACCTAGTTGTCCCTCCCATGGTTTTAAATTGCAGTCCGCAACCGCAATTACATTGTCAATTAAAATCATGCGCCTAGCTGCCATTAGAAAGCACATCAGACAATTTCACCCATGTTTCTTCAAGTATCTTCATCAAAACTCAAAATTTTAAACCCCAAAACTTAGTTTACTTCGTATGTAATGAAAAATATCAATATCAAATGTTTTTAACTGTGTATTTCAATAACTTCCCAATTAAAATCTACGCTGCAATGCACATCACAACAACTGCAATAACCGCAATTGCAACATCCATGACAGCATCCGCGACCCAAATTTAAAACCAGGGTCCCTCTTTAAGCCATTCAATAACTCAAAAAATACAATTTTCAAAGAAGCATGAAAAAAAACACATAATATAAAGACATAGCCATGAATGAAATTCCAATTACCATCACGTTCAAATGCATTAAACTACATTCAATATAAACCTCAACAAAGAAATGGGTAGTAAAAACTTACCAATTATTGCCAGTGAGGTCAAGGAGAAGAGACTGAAGTGAAAAGGACCCAAATTCCTTACGAGGAGAAGGAGCCAATGAAGGAAGAACACCAAGAGGAACATGAGAAGCAAGTTCGGACAATTGTTGATGACGATAGAGTCTGCTAGAGACAGAAGCGTCAAGAGGAATTGGGTTACCCAGGAACATGTTTGGCCCAACCGTCAAGGGTTTGAGGAGATGAAATGTTCAAATCCCAGAATGATGAATCAATGGCTGTTCGAAGCTTAGCCATTTATGTGTGAGAGACAACAACAAGAGCAACAACGATTGAGTGAAAGGGTTTTGTTTTATCTGGTTTGTTGGGGGTTTAACTTCTCTGTTGCTTATCCACAATGTTCATTTCTCTGTTGCTTATCCACAATGTTCATAATTTTTTTAAAAAATATTTTCTCATTACTTTTAAAGTATTCATGTTTAATTATTTTTTTTTGCAATGCAGAGTAAATATCAATCCAATTGACAATTGCAATTGCATTGAACAAATAGAGACTGACTCAAATTGAATTTGAGACTACGTGGCTAGCTAATTAAATTGGCCATTATGTATAACCATCAAGAGGAGGAGTCAATTTATCATGTTTAAAGAGGATATATATGAGGTTATTTTTTATACTAACGACAATCTGTTTACATGTCATATGTTCTATATTTTATAAGTATCTTTTTTCGTACGGGTCTTTTGATTCACTTCAGAGGTTTGATACGAGTTTTCTGAAACATCATCGTCAACATATTTGTTAATAAGTTTTTGTAATTCTACGTAGTTTTGTATATGCATTGACGCGCTGTCGTAACTGAGTGCGTGTCCATGTTATTATAGTTGGGTTGAGTTGTTTGGGTTGATGGGGTTATTGGTGAGCGACCCGGCCGATTGAATGGTGACATGGTGTGAATGTTATGTTGGGGAAAGGAAGAAATGATTGTTGTGGTATTTGGTATAGTCATATGTTTGTTGGATGTTTTAGTGTTGTGATGTTAGGGTGTTTTGGTTATGGTAGGAAGTGTTAGTGTCATATGCTTCTTGGAGGTTTTGGCTAGGGTAGGAGGATATGTTGGTGACATATATTTGTTGGGTGTTTTGATAATAATCATGTTCATGGTGGTGGTAAGGGGTATGCTCTTGGTTTTGTGATTGGGTGTGTGGCATATATTGGTGTGGATTTGGATGTTTGTGGTTAGTAATTTTGTTGGATAGTATGTTGTGTGTAAGTGGTTTGGTAATTTTGTTAGGGTTAGATGTTGAAGCTTGTTGTATATAAGTGGTTTGACGTGTGTTGTACCCCAAAATTTGCCCTCCCATTTCCTCAACATTTTCTCATCACAAGACCTTTGAAGATCAAGATCCAGTTAGGGTCTCCTCTGCTCAAGACTTCTCCTTGCACTGTGGACTCAAATTAAGGTTTGTGTTTGCCCAAGGATGTTTTGACCTAAATGCCTAAGATGACTTTCATGCTTCATATTGGACTCCCAAGTTTACCTATACCAAGTTTCAAGTCTTGATTCCAAGTTTTGCCCAGTCAATTGGACAGTTGACCTAGAAATCAGCTGTATTGGGAAAAAGTCAACTGTGGCCAATTGACAGTCAAATCTCATGAAATTTGATCCACATCAACATTATGAACTCACATGAACCATTTGATCAAGTTTGGATCACAATTCCATAAGAAATTTGATCAGATCATCAAAAGGGCAAAATGGTCATTTTTAGGGTTTTGACTGCACAAAGGCAATTTTTGACTGTTTGACCTAGCCAATGGCAAACCAAGTCACATATGGACTCAAGGACTCAAGGAAATGGTCTTGACACATCATCAAGCTCAAAAGATCCCAAGTACAAAAGATTGACAGTTGAATTTCTAGTCAATTGATCAATTTTGACTGTATACTGAAAAGTCAACTTTGACTTTTGATCAAAATCAAGAGTCAAGATTCATTTTTCATCAAACATGCCAAATCATGAAACTTGTTCACCAAGAAATCACAAAATTGCAATTAGGGTTTGAAAATGGAATTTTTCATAACTTAGAATTTTTCTAAGTTATGAAAAACCCTAATTTTTTCCCAACTTTGCCCCATCTTTTCACCAAGATCAATCTGGATTCAAACAAAAGTCAAAACATGAAAGTTGTAGCTTGTTGCATAATCTACAACTTTGATTCACAAAGTTTTCTCATTTGAAGCTTGTATCTCAAGTTATAATTTTTTGAATAAGGGCACTAAACCATTTTTAACTTAGTGAAATTTTACCTATTTTGACAAGGTTTCTACCCCACTTCAAGGCCACTTTTCATACCCTTCCACTAGAATTTCAATTTGCATTTCAAAGATGGATTGTAGTACACATTCCAAGCTTCCAAAATGTCCAAGAACTCATCAAACAACCTCATAACTTGAGAGATTCGAATTTCACAAGTTGGCAAAAATCCACTTTTGAATGGTTCATGAACATGTTCATAACTTGGACCATTTTCAAATCAGCATAGTTTGTGCTACATTGCAGGCCCTAAAACCCTTTGACACTCATAAATTTAATGCAAAACCATTGAACCAAGTTGTTATTCTAAGCCTTTGGTCATTACACAAGGAATTAAGCCTAAACTAGAAAAAAGCACTATTTTCCATTCTTGAAAAGAAGAACTTTATGTCAAGTTTGCAATCCAAGTGGTACAATCAAGATCTTCTTGGCACAAGTTTGTGAGCAAATTGCACTGATCAAGGCAAGGGATAGCAGCATAGTGGAGGGCCTGTACAGGCTAGAAAGATCAAGTGGCATTTTGTTGCTTAACATAGAAGAAAAGTCCATAACTTATGCCATCTCTCATCTCAGCTTAGAAACACAAGAGAGAAGTTATCAAACACATTCCAGAGAACATATCCAAGCTTCTACACGAGCCATTGACCTCCCAAACATCCTCAAACCAAAAAACACCATCAAACTGCAAAACAGAGTTGTCTCTGCAGTTTGATTGCTAACTCCTATTTCCCTCAAGTTCTTGTGCAAAAACCAGTTCACACACATTCCCTAGTGCTTATGCAAGCTAACCATGTCCTGAAACCTGACCTGTAACACCTCCAAGCCACTTCACCATTTTTAATTTTCTGTTTTGCAGTTGGAGTTCACTAGCTCGATTCAGGGAGTTTCAAGACAAAGTAGGACTTGGAAAAGCATCCTTACACTTCAAGGAAGCTATACCAATCATCATTTTACTCTGAACATCCTCCATTGCAAAGCACGATTCCAACTGAACATGTACATTCATGGAGTTCTATCTCTCTTGTTAGGCATTGTTAGCTTTAGGTTTGTGAAGAAAATATGTCACAATCATAGACCTGAACATGCTCATATGTTTAGATTTCATTTATATTTCGTGTGCTTAGAGAATTTTATGTCTGAACATGGTTAAAAAATTAGGTCAGGATTTGGGAGAGAAGAAATTCTCTCTCATTTCTGAGAGTTAGCTTGACTTCTTTATATGTCTAGAACCGTGGTTTCAAGCTTACAGGTTTCATGTTGGAAGATTTGGCAAAAGATCAAGGAATGAGAAGTTAGAAAACGCGTGTTTTTGAACAAGGAAGTGTTCTGAGGTTGAAGATGAAGCTACATGGGCTGGGCCTGTGTGGTTTCTTCTTTTTTGCACCATATTTCCATTTTCTCACCCCCCTGAGCCCATTTGTTCATTTTTTAACATTTTTGACTTTTTCCTTTTTTGTTTGACTTGTTTATTTTTTTTCCAGCACATTTAAATTTTAAAAATATTTTTTCCATCATTTTTTGTATTTATTGCATATTTATTTGTTTATTACCTTTGTTTATACATAAACATTATATATACTATTATTAGAATAAATATATAAATAGTGTAAATACATTTTTATTATTTTTTTTACCTTCTGAAAATATTTCACATAAAAAATACTTTTTTATTTATTTTATTAAAATATTAAATATATATATTATTTTGTATATAATGTATATTTAAGAAATTAATATATATATGGATATATGTTTATTAATATATTTAAGCTAAAATATAAAATACTTGAATTTTTCATTTTTTTTTATTAATGTTTGATACAAAATACTTTTTTCATAATATACTTCATTATTTTTATTTTTTGTACATAATAAATAAATGTTTGTATTAAATTAAACAATGATACATTTTTTCTTAATAAAATTAGGGTTTTTGCCCTAAATTCAAAATATCCCAAAAAAATAATATAATTTTTATTTTCCTTTCTCTTTTACATAAATAATATTTTTTTTTATACATATGTAAAAACTTTCTTTTTGCATTTTGCATATTTGTTTAATTTCCATTTAATTATGCAATTTATTTACTTTGTAAATATTCAAAAATGATGTAATAATTTAGATTTACATTACTTGTCAATATCCCCATTTGAACATTTGTACCCCCCTTCCCATATTTGGTTTTGTAATAGCTTAGTAATTTAAATTTCGCACTTTATTGCTTTCTAATGATAACATGTTAGAATTAGGGTTTGTATGCGAAAAAACGATAAAAAATAGTTTGACCTAATACAAGATAAATGAGCATGAAAATAAACAACACATCTCACACTTGCACCCCTAGGGTATTCCACTTGTTGCCTTCAAATAAATGGGCCATATTGTATGTTGAATTTCTTTGGGCAAAGCAAGCAATTTGAATGATCATAGTCCCTCGACAAAACTTTTCAAAACAAACAAAAACAAATGATCAAGTCCCTTAAAGAAATTGCCCAAAGACATTTAACGCCGTTGCAATTATGGTCTAAACGATGACCCGCGCCTGTCCCTTTCACATCCTAACACAAGATTGTCCACCAAATACAATGGTGGAACAAACTTGTTAAAAGGGTTAAAACATAGCAATAGTCTTTTGAGAAATTTAGGAGTAGATAACCTCTTAGTGACTTGAATCAAACTTGCAAAACAAAACACTTGCCTAATTTCAAAACCACACATCACTACACTTTCAAAACAACTTTCAAAAAACAAATGAAAACTTTTTCAAAAGACATACATCTTTGTATACATCCCCACATGGATCATTACAAAGGTTGCCACCACATTGGCATCTTTTCAAAACATTTTCAAAACCCACACACAAAGCACCATTTAAAACAATTGAAAACAAAAG